CCCCCCCCCCTCCCCCGTCCTCACTCCTTCCGGGCCATCCTCCTCCACCTCCTCTTTTCTACTCCGTACTTTTCTTCTTCCTCTCCCTACTCCTCCCTTTCCTCCTCCTCCTCCTCCTCCTTTCCTCCTCCTCCCTCCTCCTCCTCCCCCTCCTCCCCCCTTCCTCCTCCTCCTCCCCCCTTCCCCTCTTCCTCCTCCTCCTCCCCCCTTCCCCTCTTCCTCCTCCTCCTCCCCCCTTCCCCTCTTCCTCCTCCTCCTCCCCCCTTCCCCTCTTCCTCCTCCTCCTCCCCCCCTTCCCCTCTTCCTCCTCCTCCTCCTCCCCCCCTTCCCCTCTTCCTCCTCCTCCTCCCCCCTTCCCCTCTTCCTCCTCCTCCTCCCCCCTTCCCCTCTTCCTCCTCCTCCTCCCCCCTTCCCCTCTTCCTCCTCCTCCTCCCCCCTTCCCCTCTTCCTCCTCCTCCTCCCCCCTTCCCCTCTTCCTCCTCCTCCTCCCCCCTTCCCCTCTTCCTCCTCCTCCTCCCCCCCTTCCCCTCTTCCTCCTCCTCCTCCCCCCTTCCCCTCTTCCTCCTCCTCCTCCCCCCCTTCCCCTCTTCCTCCTCCTCCTCCCCCCCTTCCCCTCTTCCTCCTCCTCCTCCCCCCTCTGCCGGCCCGGCGAAGACAAAACCTCTCGAGCGGCTCCTGATCGCCAGCAAAGTTCAGAGAAATTTTTTTTTTTTTTTTTTTTTTCATCATTTTTTTTAGGTTTGGGGAATAGGAGGGGGGAGGAGGGGGGAGGAGGTAGGGGAATAGGGGAATAGGGGGGGGGGGGAGGGAGAGGTAGGGAGAGGATTGATTTGTGAGTGGTATGATGGGGGGGAGGGGGGGAAACAGCGGTCGGGGAGTAATTAGAAAGGGAGGAAAGAGAGGGGGGGGGGGGAGGGCGACGTTAGCGATGCGTAAGATTTATCTCGAGAGTATTTCGTCGCAGGAGCACACGCTGCCCAGCCACTTGTTACGAAACAACAGCAGTGGGAACAACAACAACAAATAACCAAAAACAAAAACAAAATCCAAGAGAGGACGACCACGCGGACACTTCAGACTAACCCTCCTCCTCCTCTTCTTATTCCTCTTCTTATTCTTCTTCTTCTTCTTCTTCTTCTTCCTCTTCCTCTCTCTCTCTTCTTCCTCTTCCTCTTCCTCTTCCTCTTCCTCTTCTCCTTCTACTTCTTCTTCTTCTTCTTATTATTATTATTATTAGTATTATCTTTCTTCTTCTTTTTCTCCTCCTTCTTCTTCTACCGCTGCCCAACACATGCTATTACCCAACCTACTTTCTTCCCATACCTGCTATATCCCCCCTTCACACTCCAACCCCCCCCCCCTCAATCTCCTTCCCCACACCCTCCCTCCCCCCTCCCTTGCACTCTACCCCTACCCCATCCCTTTCCCCACCCCTATCCACGCCCACACACACCTACCTACCCCCCACCCCCACCCACTCTATCTCGACCTCTAACCCCAAACCCTTTATCAATTCCCCTACCCCCCTTCTTCCCCTCCTATCCCCCCCTACCTTCCCCCCCTCTCCCTTTGTTCCACCCCATCTCCAACACTTACCTTTCCCCCTCTTCCCCTCCTACCCCACCCCTCCCTTTTCTTCCCCCTCCTCCTCCTCTCCCTTTCTTCCACCCAGTCCCCAACACCTACCTCCGCCCCCCTCTTCCCCTTCTTCCCCTCCTACCCCCCCCCACACCCCCACCCCTAGCCAAACACCCCGGGCACGCTGAAGGGCAGCTGGTGACCTCCGGGAGACGCGCGCCAGATGGAGGACTGGCGGCAGGAGCTACGGCCGGGGTCAGGCGGCGGCGTGACAGGTGCCGTGGGGCCCTTGGACACGGACGAGGGAGAGGGGGGGAGGGGGGAGAAAGGGAGAGAGGGGAGGGGAGAGAGGGAGGGAGAGAGGGAGGGAGAGAGAGAGGTAGAGGGAGAGAGAGAGGGAGAGAGAGAGAGAGAGAGAGAGAGAGAGAGAGAGAGAGAGAGAGAGAGAGAGAGAGAGAGAGAGAGAGGGAGAGGGTTAGGGAGAGGGAGACAGAGACGAAAGAACAAAGGAAGAAAGAAAGTGAGAGAAGAAAGAACGACAGACAGACAGAAAGAAAGAGAGAGAAGAAAGAAAGTCAGAGAAGAAGAAAATAAGAGAGAAAGAAAGAAACAAACAAACAAAGGCAGCCATAGAATCGAGACGACCAGCATCTCCCACCTCCCCCCCTTCCACCCCCTTTTGCACTAATGCCGTGGTTTCGCTTCAAAACCCACGAGCGGTAACGAAGGAGGCGACGTGAGAAAAGGAAGGAACGAAGACGAGAAAGAGACACCAGAGAAGAGGGGGGGGGAAAGAGAAGGAAAAAGAGAGAAGAAAAAAGAGAGAGGGGAAAAGAAGGAAAAAGGGAGAGGGGAAAACAGAGAGGGGAAAGAGAGAAGAGAAAAGAGAGAGGGGAAAGAGAGAAGAGAAAAGAGAGGGGGGGGGAGAGAAGAGAAAAGAAGGAGGGGAAAAGAGAGAGGGGAAAGAGAGAAGAGAAAAGAGAGAGGGGGAAAGAGAGAAAAGAAAAGAGAGAGGGGAAAAGAGACAAGAGGAGAGAGAGAGGGGAAAAGAGAAAAGAAAAAAGAGAAAAGAGAGAGGGGAAAAGAGAGAAGAGAAAACGGAAAAGAGAGTAGAGAAAAGAGAAGAGAGAGAAAAAAAGAGAAGGAAAAAGAGACGGGAGAAGACCAAAAAGAAAAAAGAGAAAAGAGAAAAAAGAGAGAGGGCAAGAGAGAGAGAGAGGGGAGGCAAGAGAAAGAAGGGAACCAGGACCGCGAAGGCAAGAGTTCCGGCGCGCACAGAGAGGCTTCCCCCGCGGCCAGGCTTCCCCCGGGTCCAGGCTTCCCCCGGGGCCAGGCTTCCCCCGGGGCCAGGCTTCCCTCCCAGGGCCAGGTTTCCCCTAGGGCCAGGCTTCCCCCCCAGGGCCAGGTTTCCCCCGGGGCCAGGCTTCCCCCCCAGGGCCAGGTTTCCCCTAGGGCCAGGCTTCCCCCCCAGGGCCAGGTTTCCCCTAGGGCCAGGCTTCCCCCCCCCAGGGCCAGGCTTCCCCCCCAGGGCCAGGTTTCCCCCCCAGGGCCAGGTTTCCCCTAGGGCCAAGCTTCTCCCCCAGGGCCAGGCTTCCCCCAGGGCCAGGCTTCCCCCCTAGGGCCAGGCTTCCCCCCAGGGCCAGGCTTCCCCCCCAGGGCCAGGCTTCCCCCAGGGCCAGGCTTCTCCCCCAGGGCCAGGCTTCCCCCGGGTCCAGGCTTCCCCCCTAGGGCCAGGCTTCCCCCCAGGGCCAGGCTTCCCCCAGGGCCAGGCTTCCCCCCTAGGGCCAGGCTTCCCCCCAGGGCCAGGCTTCCCCCCCAGGGCCAGGCTTCTCCCCCAGGGCCAGGCTTCTCCCCCAGGGCTAGGCTTCCCCCCTAGGGCCAGGCTTCCCCCCAGGGCCAGGCTTCCCCCAGGGCCAGGCTTCTCCCCCAGGGCCGGGCTTCCCCACCAGGGCCGGGCTTCCCCCCCAGGGCCGGGCTTTCCCCCCATGGCCAGGCTTCCCCCCCAGGGCCGGGCTTCCCTCCCAGGGCCAGGCTTCCCCCCAGGGCCAGGCTTCCTCCCCAGGGCCAGGCTTCTCCCCCAGGGCCAGGCTTCCCCCCTAGGGCCAGGCTTCCCCCAGGGCCAGGCTTCCCCCAGGGCCAGGCTTCCCCCCTAGGGCCAGGCTTCCCCCCCAGGGCCAGGCTTCTCCCCCAGGGCCGGGCTTCCCCCCGAGGGCCAGGCTTCCCCCCGAGGGCCAGGCTTCCCCCCCAGGGCCAGGTTTCCCCCGGGGCCCAGGCTTCCCCCCCAGGGCCGGGCTTCCCCACCAGGGCCGGGCTTCCCCCCCAGGGCCGGGCTTTCCCCCCATGGCCAGGCTTCCCCCCCAGGGCCGGGCTTCCCTCCCAGGGCCAGGCTTCCCCCCAGGGCCAGGCTTCCTCCCCAGGGCCAGGCTTCTCCCCCAGGGCCAGGCTTCCCCCCTAGGGCCAGGCTTCCCCCAGGGCCAGGCTTCCCCCAGGGCCAGGCTTCCCCCCTAGGGCCAGGCTTCCCCCCCAGGGCCAGGCTTCTCCCCCAGGGCCGGGCTTCCCCCCGAGGGCCAGGCTTCCCCCCGAGGGCCAGGCTTCCCCCCCAGGGCCAGGTTTCCCCCGGGGCCCAGGCTTCCCCCCCAGGGCCGGGCTTCCCCCCCAGGGCCAGGCTTCTCCCCCAGGGCCAGGCTTCCCCCCCAGGGCCGGGCTTCCCCCCCAGGGCCGGGCTTCCCCCCCAGGGCCAGGCTTCTCCCCCAGGGCCAGGCTTCCCCCCCAGGGCCAGGCTTCCCCCCCCAGGGCCAGGCTTCCCCCCCCAGGGCCAGGCTTCCCCCCCAGGGCCAGGCTTCCCCCAGGGCCGGGCTTCCCCCCCAGGGCCAGGCTTCCCACGGGGCCGCAAGTACAGTTAATACATACACTCTCTCGTGCTCCCATACGTCACTTTCTCAGCCAGCTGTTGTTACACTACCTGCAGGAGGAGGAAATGGCCGGTGTGAGAACAGGGCGTTGCAAGGGCGAAACATATGCAAGGTATGATTCAATTATCAATGGAATAAAAACAGTCCGAAATAGGTGTGTCATCGCCGGAATAAAATACACACACAAACGCATACATATATACATACATACAAATATATATATATATATATATATATATATATATATATATATATATATATATATATATATATATATATATATATATATATATATATATATATATATATATGTGTGTGTGTATATGTAGATATATGTGTATGTATATACATACACATATATCTACATATACACATGAATAAATAAATAAATATATATATATATATATATATATATATATATATATATATATATATATATATATATATACATATATATATATATATACATACATATATATGTATATATATATATACATACATATACATGTATATATACATATACATACATATATATGTATATATACATATACATACATATATATGTATATATATATATACATACATATATATGTATATATATATATACATACATATATATGTATATATATATATACATACATATATATGTATATATATATATACATACATATATATGTATATATATATATACATACATATATATATATATATATATATATATATATATATATATATATACATATATATATATATATATATATATACATATATTTACATACACACGAATCTAACTACACGCACAGAAGCAAAAAAAACAAAAAACACCCACACCCACAAACCCACAAACACACACACACACGCACTCGCTCAACCCATGAAACAAGGTAACAACCCATGATTAAACACGCAATTAACCCCCACTAACGGACCAAAACACCGCCCCCTCAACCCCCTCCCCCCCCTCTTTACGCAATTACATGACCCCGGCGCCCCTGCGATGTGGCAGACGGGAGGAAGGAGGGAAAGGAGGGAAGGGAGGGAGGGAAAGGGGGAAGAAAGGAGAGGGAGGGAGGGAGAGAAAGGAGGGGAGAGGGAGGGAGGGAGAGAAAGGAGGGGAGGGGGAGGAAAGGGAAGGAAGGAGAGAAGGGGAGAGAGAGGGAAGGAGGGAGGAATGCGAGAGAGGAGGAGACACATGGAGGAAGAGGCAGGGGAGGAGGGAAGGAAGGAGAAGGGGAAGGAGGGAATGAAAGAGAAGGGAAAGGAGGAGGAGGAGAGGAGGGCAAAGAAGGGAAGAGGTCGAACGCAGTAATTAACAAACACCCATTAGTCCCCCCCCCAAAAAAGAGGGCAAACTAACAGTACTCAACAGGAGCCATTAACATAACTAACCCTTTGCCTTGGTGACTATTATCTTCCCTTCTCTCTCTCTCTCTCTCTCTCTCTCTCTCTCTCTCTCTTCTCTCTCTCTCTCTCTCTCTCTCTCTCTCTCTCTCTCTCTCTCTCTCCTCCTCTCTCTCTCTCTCCCTCCCTCCCTCCCTACCTCCCTCCCTCCCTCCCTCCCTCCCTCCCCTCCCTCCCTCCCTCCCTCCCTCCCCTCCCCCCCCTCTCTTATTCCTTTATAATCACCACAATCATTACCAACGTCACTGCCATCATCCTCATCATCATAACAGCAGTAATTAAAGTCATAATGAAGGCCATCAACGATCCCAGTCACTTCAGCCCTCAAGGTAAACAGAATAAATACGAAAGAAAAAAAAAAGTTAAACGCCGACATTTTTATGAACTGCAACAGAGAAATACAAAAACATAGTAAAATAAAACAATAATATTATTAAATAACCATCTAAAAAAAAAAACTATAGCAAATAATATCCCATCGTCATCACCATCATCACCACCACCACAATCACCATCTCCTCCATCATCACCCTCACCATCCCCACCACAATCACCATCTCCTCCATCATCACCCTCACCATCCCCACCACAATCACCATCTCCCATCATCCTCACCATCCCCACCACAATCACCATCTCCTCCATCATCACCCTCACCATCCCCACCACAATCACCATCTCCCATCACCCTCACCATCCCCACCATAACTACCACCATAACAACTACCACCACCCTCACCACCATATGCAAACATATTGCACAGCACTTGCAAACAAAAGACCTTTCCCTCTTCCCAAGTCGCTTTCCCTCTCTCTCCGTTTTTGCCCGTTTAGTGCCTCCCCCCCCCCCCGCTCCTGCCCGGCGAATGAAAGCAAAACAAATAATGACAGTGATGGTGAGGCTGGCGTTGGAGAGAAGGAGGATGGTGATGGTGAGGATGGTGAGGAGGAGGAAAACTATAAATATAAAAGTTATAATTAAAGTAGTAGTAGACGCAATGGTAATAGTAATTAAAAATAACAATAATAATAACAGTAATAATAATAATAATAATAATAATAGAAATAGAAATAATAACAATAACAATAACAATAACCGTAAATAACAATAATAATAATAATAATAATAATAATAATAATAATAATAATAATAATAATAATAATAATAAAAACAACAACAACAACAATAAAAATAATAATAACAATAACATCAACGATAATGAAGATGACATTACTCCATTTTCTCTGGTTTCCTCTTATTTCTTTCCCGATGCCCCTTCTTCCTCCTCCGCGTCCCTGTCTCCTCTCTACGTGCACTTCCCCTCCCATTCCCCCACCTTCTGGTTTATTACCACTTCTCCTCCTCCTTCTCCTTTCTTCCTTTCTTTCTTTCTTCTTCTCCTTCTTTTTCTTTTCCTTCTTTCTTCTTCGTCTTCTCTTTTTTTCTTCTTCTTCTTCTTCTTCTACCCCCACCTCCCACCTCCAGCATCCCTTCGCTCCCCCTCCTTCCCCCTCCCCCTCCCCCCCCTACCGCCCTCCCCCACCCGATCGCGCTCCTGTTCCGCCGATACAGTTCTTCGTACCTTCTCTTCCGAGCCAGAGAACCTCCACCCCCCCCTCCCCTCCTCCTACTTCCCCCCTCAAGTTCCACCCCCACTCACCCACTCCAACGTTCCCCCTCCCCCACTCACCCCCATCTATCCCCAACCTCCCCCTCCCCCCACTCACCCCTTCTCCAACCTCCCCCTCCCCCTCTCCAACACCCTCCAACCCCCCTCTCCAACCCCCCCTCCAACCTCCCTCCCCTCCCCCCAGCGGGCAACAATGCACCGGCCCGGCCCCCCGCCTGTGCAACGCGGTCGTATCAAAGTCAACGAAACAGCTGGACGGGTTCGCATTCCTCGCCAACGCAGAACGACGCGACCTTCTGCCTATTTGGTGCCAATACTGCACGACGCATGCGCGCACGCGAGCACGCACGCGAACACGCACACGAACAAGGTCCAGAGAGTAAAATATAGACTTATATAGTCCTTGGACACGAACACGAACTCTGGAGTACACTCTGGCACATAAACATTCTAGATCAGAGCGAGACAGAGAGAAAGAGAAAGAGAGAGAGAGAGAGAGAGAGAGAGAGAGAGAGAGAGAGAGAGAGAGAGAGAGAGAGAGAGAGAGAGAGAGACGGAGAGAGAGAGACGGAGAGAGAGAGACGGAGAGAGAGAGAGAGAGAGAGAGAGAGAGAGAGAGAGAGAGAGAGAGAGAGAGAGAGAGAGAGAGAGAGAGAGAGAGAGAGAGAGAGACGGAGAGAGAGAGAGAGAGAGACGGAGAGAGAGAGAGAGAGAGAGAGAGAGAGAGAGAGAGAGAGAGAGAGAGAGAGAGAGAGAGAGAGAGGAGAGAGAGAGAGAGAGAGAGAGAGAGAGAGAGAGAGAGAGAGAGAGAGAGAGAGAGAGAGAGAGAGAGAGAGAGACGGAGAGAGAGAGAGAGAGAGACGGAGAGAGAGAGAGAGAGAGAGAGAGAGAGAGAGAGAGAGAGAGAGAGAGAGAGAGAGAGAGAGAGAGAGAGAGAGAGAGAGAGAGGAGAGAGAGAGGGGAGAGAAAGAGAAAGAATGAGGGAGATGGGTATATATAGATTAAGTAACAATATGAATGCATTTTGAGTATATTCATTCGATTGGACCAAAGAATAAAAAAAATATATATGTACACTCTGGCACATAAACATTCTAGATCAGAGCGAGACAGAGAGAGAGAGAGAGAGAGAGAGAGAGAGAGAGAGAGAGAGAGAGAGAGAGAGAGAGAGAGAGAGAGAGAGAGAGAGAGAGAGAGAGACGGAGAGAGAGAGAGACGGAGAGAGAGAGAGAGAGAGAGAGAGAGAGAGAGAGAGAGAGAGAGAGAGAGAGAGAGAGAGAGAGAGAGAGAGAGAGAGAGAGACAGAGAAAGAGAGAAAGAGAGAGAAAGAGAAAGAGAGAGAGAGAGAGAGAGAGAGAGAGAGAGAGAGAGAGGAGAGAGAGAGAGAGAGAGAGAGAGAGAGAGAGAGAGGAGAGAGAGGAGAGAGAAAGAGAAAGAATGAGGGAGATGGGTATATATAGATTAAGTAACAATATGAATGCATTTTGAGTATATTCATTCGATTGGACCAAAGAATATATAAAAAAATATATATATATGATGTAAAAAAAAAACATCTCTAGGTAATATACTTTGGTACATCCATGTAGTTTGCGAGTGCCCACGCACGCACGCACACACACACACACACATACACATACACATACACACACACACATACACATACACACACACACACACACACACACACACACACACACACACACACACACACACACACACACACACACACACACACACACACACACAACCCAACCCACTTACCCCCCCTTACCCCCTCACCCCCCTCTCCCTAAAAAAAAAAAAGCCGCACAGCGAGCCACTTCACACGCCAGTTCAGTGTTGCAATTGCCTTCAATAATTGTTGGCTGGCAAACGACCGGAGTTGCAGTGATGACTCTGCGGGGACGCGCGGGGGGGGGGGGGGGGGG